GCTGGGACCTCGCGGGCCCGCGCGCTGTCGCGGCGCTCCTCGAGCTGGCGCGCGAGGGCCTGCTCGGTGCGGTGCTGGGCGGCCCGCCATGTGCGACCTGGGGCAGGTTGCGGCGTGGGCCAGGCGGCCCGCCGCCTCTGCGGCGCCGCGATTACCTGCTGGGGCTGCCGTCGCTGAGGAGCCATGAGCCATGAGAGGATGCGAGTGCTTGAGGCGAACGCTTTGCCTTTTCAACTTTCTAGGCTCGCGCGAAGCTGTTCTGTCGCAGGGCGGGGCTCTCCTTTTGGGGCACCCCGCGGACCCCGGTGAGTTCCCCCCCCCTCGATCTTCGCCCTCGAAGGGGTGAAGGGTCTTGCTGAGCGTGCCCGGGTCCAGACTGTAACTCTAGATCAGTGCATGTGCGGGGGGCGGCCCAAAAACCTACAGGTGTCTTCTCTAACCTCCTGGGGCTACCTGGAGGCCTACTACATTGTGGCGGGGGCCATGCTCGCGACGACGTCCTTGGTGAGAATGCTCAGGGAATATTTGCATCACGTCGTCTTCAGAGTTATCCATCAGGTCTGTGCCGGTTCTTTGGATGGTGCGTTGCCCGTGCTATAGTGCTCGGGCGACAGGGATCCGGAGGTCCCGGGGGTGGAGGCGGCCTTCGACAGCACGACCTCGCACAAGCCAGTGGAGTCGAGAAGCAGAGGGTCCGCTAGGACCGTAATGCGCAATGTTGAACGAGAAGTATTCGAATGAGGGCCAGTGCAGTCTGGGCCCCGAGACGTCCACGTCGATGACGGATGACGGCCTGCTGATGACGGTGGCCCCGCGCTCCGAGAGGCCGCTCTGCGACGAGCTGATGCGCCGGGTCGCCGACGGCTGGGGGCGCGAGGGGTTCCTTGTCACCGAGCGGGTCGAGGCCGAGGACGACCTGAAGGCGGTGGGGTATCGCGTGCAGAGGTCGCCGCCCGCGCTGCGCTTTGACCCGCGCAAAGGCTGGTTGCTGCGCGAGAGCTGCCTCTTGTTGCAGGAGGCCGACTGGGTCGACGCGGAGCTGCTGAGGGCGGTGGTAGGCGCTTGGCTGTGTGGGGCGCTCCTGCCGGGGGAGCTGATGTCCGTCCCCCGCGCGATCTTCAACGCGCTCGAGAAGCGCGCTAACCAGGTCATCACCTGGTGGCCGTTGGCTAGGCGCGAGCTGAAGGCCATGGCCCACCTGGTGCTGTCGATGGAGTGCGTGCTGAATGCCCCCGCGGCGCCGCTGGTGTTCTCGTCCGACGCCGAGGGCACGAACGAGGGCGACTTCGGCGGCTGCGGGGTCGTCGGGGCCGCTGCGGACCTCGACGTGCGCGATGAGCTGGTGGCCGCAGGAGCGCGGCCTGGCCACGCCGTCGCCGGGCTGGGCGGCAGGGTCGAGCGCTGAAGTTGCTCGCCGCGCTCACTCGCGCCCCAGGGGCGCATGGCTTCTTGGTCGCCAACCTGGAGGACGAGGGGGGCCTCTCAGCGGCCCTGGCCAAAGGGTGCTCGTCGGCAGCAGGGCTCAACTTACTTCTTCGACGACGAGCTGCTCTATGTTTGGATGCAGGTATCATGTCCGTGCTGCCCTGGGTGGACACCATGCGCCAGGCAGCAGATTGGCTGTCGCGTCGTGAATGAGGTGGCGCGGGCCGCGGCGCCTGGGCCGCCGCCAAGCTACGCGGGTCAAGCCGAGGAAGATCGAGACGCGCGGGCGGGAGGCCTGGTGCTTCGCAGCTTGGGCCATCGCCAACCACCGTGACCCCGTCGGCCCGGACCAGTGGAGCGACGCGCTGGTGGAGAACAAGACGGCGTGCGAGCCCTTGCTGACGCCGCCCAAGTACTGGAATCTCTTGGCGGCGGTGGAATTGTTTTTCCCTAGAATGAAAGGCGAGCTGAAGTGGGCGCGTGCGTTCTACGAGGCTGGGAGAGGTCACGAGTAATCAAGCGCGCTGTGTCGGTGGGGAAGGCGCCTGGTAAGCCGTTGCGCATCTACCTGGCGGCGGCAGGGCGCGTGGGGCTCAGCTTAGGCTTGGTTATGCAGTACCCCGCTGGGCTCGGACCGTCGGAGATGTTTTGCCTGCGCCCGCAGCGTGTTTCCTTCCCTAGGTGGCCATGCTCCCAGGACGTCGCGCCGACATTATCGAGGCCTTAGATCAGCTTCTTTTCCTTACAGTATCACGTAAGACCGCACTTTTCTCAAGACAGCCGAAGCGGCGCTGGGGCCTGCCGTGGGCTGGGGCCCACGCAGCCCGCGCGCTGGCTGGACTGCCGACTCCCGCGCCGCCGGCGTCTCGTTCTCCGAGATCCGCGAGGGCGGCCGCTGGATGAGCGACTCCAGCCCCAGGATCTACCTCGACGTGCAATCGGCCAACGCAGTGCTGACCGACCTTCTCACGGCTCGCCACGAGAAGCAGCTGCGCTGGGCAGCCGACGGCTGGAGGCAGTATGTGCGACCGGAGCTACTGCGAGCCCCATGCTGGTGACCATGGCGCCGCAGGTGGGCAGCGCGTTTGTGGGCGGCGTGTCCGGCCTCCGCGAAGAGCTTGGCGCCTCCTGCGGCGAGGAGCTCTCGCGCGGCGTCGCCCGCTCTTGAAGGGCCGAGGTCGCCAGTCGCCAAGGCGACCTCGCCACTTTCGACGCTGCCCGCAGGACCGACGCCACCGTCGTCCTGGTCGCCGGGGGGGGCACCTTTCGGCAGCGTGGCGGTGCCTTCGTCCTGGAGCGCGCCGCCCAATGGGCTGCCGAACCCGTGCGCAGTCTCTGCTGAGGGGGAAGTGGCGGCACCGACGCCCGCGCCGCCGCCGCCTGCGCCGAGGCGACCGCGTTTCGTGGCGCATTGGCAGTTCCACCGAGGCCCCAACGGCAACGCTCGCGTGCGTCTCCCCTGCCCAGTACAGCGTTTCATGGCCCATAGTGAATTCCACCGAAGACGTCGCCCACAACTGCGGTATTCACAACTGTATATGATTGGGTCCTTCGTCAGGCTATGTTTGTTGGGGGCGGGGCGGTAGCGGCGTCGCGCGGGGCGACGCGGCGGAGTAAGCGTAAACTCAGTGCGCGCGGCGCGCGGCGAATGGGCCCTCAAGCGTCGCTTCGGCCTCAGAATGTGGCCTTACCGTCATCAACCATCCTGGCGTGGATGGCGTGGCAGTGACACGCCGTGCCGTGGGCTGAGCCTGCACGCGCACACACACGCACACACAGACACACACCGTACGAACAACAAAACATTATGACGTGAAACAAACGGGTCCTGAGAGAAACGCGTCTTGGGCCCAGGGTTCTCTTCATTCAAACACCAGATCTTCATGTTGAATAACTGTTTGGCGGTCCTGGGGGCCTTCGGACAGTTTATGTCAGAACGGGCCGAACAGTCTCACACTGTCCCTGGGTACGTGTCTGAAGAGTGCTTCCACGGTGCCGGTTTAGGCCATTTTTCAGTAATAATCCCACCAGCTTTTTAGGGCGTAGGTGGTATAGCGTGTCTTGCCTTCCATCCTTTCGGGGAGGGGCTGCTGACGGGGTCCTGCGGCCTGAGTTGGACGACGGACGACGGCCAGGCGCCGCCTTCGGCTGTGCTTCAAGATAGTTGCGGTTCCCTAGGTCATGAGATGGAGCAGTCCGGTCGCGTGCTGCTCTGTGCCGTGTGTTCATCTTTCACGATTTTGCCCAACGGGAATCCGCAGGGCCTTGGCGACAGATGCAAAGGCCGCTCAGAACGCCCTTCAAGCCGAAGCTTCCAAACCACCACGATTAAATATGCGGCTCGAAGGCTCTTTTTCAAGACGGGCAAGTCTCTTGACCCGTTCGGTTTTTTTTGGGTGGGGGGGGCCCTGTCTTGCCCCGCGGCGCGTGGCCTCTGCAAAGCCGTGCCTTGGGGCGAAAATCATCTGATGGGCCGCCCTCCAACCTCCATGTTGCGCGTGCCGCCCCTGGCCGCGCTAGAGCGACGATCGCTTCGGCGGCGTGCTTGTCTGTCTTCCTTGATGTAGTCTTGCGGTCCCGACCCACGGTTCCGCCAGGCTGTCCGCCCTTCTAGTGTGAATGCTACTCTCCTCTCTCCCCTGTTTTGGCGTCCGGAGATTGTTCGGCCCCCTTCCGCGTAATGTTTTTTCGCGCGCATGATTCCCGGGAGTTTTTTTTTTTTTTTTTTTTTTTTGTGTGTGTTTTTGTGTGTGTGTGTGTTTTGTTTTCTTTGTTTTTCCATTTTTCTCCCCACGGCATGGTTTTCGGTCCTTCCAAATGAGCTCCAACATCTAGACCATGCCCCCCCCGAAACAACCATCGGAAGTGATTGCACATTCGGTGTCGATTCGTTCACTTTTTTGGGTCGCGAAAGCCCCCCCCACTATGGGGCGTCGCCGCGCCATGCTATGTCAGGCTACGCGTCCTCCGAATCGTGCTCCCACTGCAGCGATGGCCTCATTTCCGCGCTTCTGCTTTATTTCCAGCGCCGGCGTCGCCGCGCCATGCTATGTCAAG